ATTTTTTCAAATATAGGTTGAAATATTTTTTAAATGATATGAATCATTTTTAAAATATGCAAAGAACTTATTACATTAATAAATATGCAAATAACTTATTACATTAATATATTGTTTAACTTTTGTAAATACATGATAAATATTTTTTCAATATATGTTTCGATGTCTTTATTTCATACACATTGTACATTTTTGATAATTCTAAGCATTTTAATATACGTTTAATATTTTCTAAATGCATGATTAACATGTTCTTCAAGTATGTGTTCTGTATATTGTTTCAAATACATGTTGACATATTTTTCAAATACACATTGAAACATTTTGTAAACATTATGAAACATTTTTTAAATTACTCTTTACATAATTAATTTTTAATATCACAAACATAGTTTTGAAACATGTGTACATATTTCTAAATGTAATATACAATTTTTAATGGGTGAAACCTTTTTTATTAAACAAACATCTTTTACATTGTATAATATTTTTTTATTATCTAATAGTTTATCCAAAATTTCACCGATATTGTTTGAAATGTGTGAACATTTTTAAATACCACATGTTTTTTGCGTGACATATTTTATTTATAAAAGTTGAGAAAATATTATTTTTTACATTGCATAAACATTTTTTTAAATGTGCAATAATTTTTTTAAATAAAACAATATAATTATTTGTTTATAATAGATGTATTTCACATTTTTCTACATATAAACAAAACTAAAACCTGTGCATGACATTAGCATGATGAAACCACATGGCTGGTGGGCCGGCACACTAGTGGCTCCCTCCAGGCGAAATTAGATTTTGTCCCGCTTATTATAAGACATGAAGCATGTCAGTTGGAATCTTAAGACAGATTCACGTGAAACAACACTAAGATGTATTTAAACATTTCTTGATTGTTAAAATTGGTAATTGACACATACTTAGCCTGTAGCTTGTTCCGTGTTAATTACATGGGTAGTCGATACATATTTGGAACCCGCGATAATTCAAAATAAGTATTTTTATACCAAACTTTTATACATATCTAAAATTATTATACCATACTAACATAGCAATGAGTAGACTATTTATTATTTAGTTGGCGTAGATAACCACATAAAAATGTTTTGTAATACTAAACATATCATATTTTGTTTTTATTTTGAATGTTGTCATTCAGAAAACCATGTATACTAAATTTCAATTGTGTGTTTAGAAAAAGTGTTGTCGTCCAACAATGCATATGCATATATTTGTGTGTATTTGCATATGTTCATGCATGTTTTAATATCATTACTGAAATGTATTGTCTAACTAATATCTTAATAGAGTTTCTAGTGTATTAGTAGATAAGCATATTATAGAAGTTTCTGATGGTCCGCAAGACACATAGGGTGGTGTAGCACTTTGTGGAATTAGCCAAATTAATTATTGTCCCAACGAAGAGCAAAGCAGAGCAGAGTATTTATAAAATAGTGTTTTTGTCACACAAGTTGTCACATTTCTTATGTGAAGTAACTGCTTGTGATCTGCAAACGTTGTTACTGTTCCAAGAGGCAAATAAACCAGAGTGGTAAATAAGAAGAGTTGATAGCAACGAGAGTAATAACACTTGAAGTAATGAACATAGATAAAAGGGAAATTAAAGTTGTGTTTCCTACAATGGAGAGGTTAGGCACGGAGAGAGTTGAGCTCATGGTAAATATCCAGTGTGCCAGTGCAACGGTTATACCAGTTACCTTGTATCATGATTATAGTGTTTGATTTTTTTGTTCAGTAGGTGGATAACCCTAAAGTCATGGCACTCCTCCTCGTAGGATTACATTCCATTCTATGGTCCTGCTTTGCCGTTGCCACAAAGTAGTCATCTTCGCAGTTAAGGTCCTTGGACTAGAACCAAGCATTAAGTTTAATGGATCACCATTATCTCATATTGTCTTCCGTCCTTATATAGATGTCTTCCCCTGTCACGTGAGAGGTCGCATATTACCTAAATAATTTGTGTTACCTGTGTAGGTCTTGAGATCATGTTGCATGGGCATTTAAATTGAATAATACACACAGAGTTCACCACAGTATAACAACTCACTACACAGATCATTAGACTTAATCATCTCAATCAACATATATAACTTAACATGATATAAGCCGCAGTGATGCACTCACTATTTGGGTTCTTTCACAATTAACCACATTTGAGATAGAAAGAAACAAAGCCAAATAGTAACATAAAAGGCAGGTAAATAATTCAAATAATAGATTAAAGATACCAAAAGACAAAGACACAATATGCACAACTAATCTGAAATGTGCATATTTACTTTTGAGCACAAACCCTTCATCAAGCAATTAGCCATGACAATCAGAATAGAAGCCTAAAGGGAATAAACATGATGTTGTATAAGTCATCATGTATAATGATTCCTTCTGTTTACCAACCTATGTGCGGCAGCAGAAAACGTCACAGTGATATGCAAAGTAGATGGTGAAGAAAAAGAACAGGCGGGGCATTTTATCAAGCACTTGTGGGCACCGTAGAATCAGTTGCTGGATTGATGAAGAGACACTGGCCTGTCCGGCAGTGGAAGCTGCGATATTCCCGCTTCTCCTCTATAGTTGTTGCAGTTACCACAGTCAGTCGTCGCCGGCCCGTCCTAGCGGTCCGCCACACGCGCGCCGTGGGCCCGATAAACCAGGACAATAATGCGCGCCCGCGGCCTTCGTCTTCCTTCTCTTCCTCCTCTCCAGTCGTCGGCGGCATCCTCCCCCATCTCGTGCGCATACGGGCGGCGTCATCATACAGAGCATTCGTCCCCCGGCCACTCCGCGGCGGCACATGACGGTGCCAGATCAGTGAGGGGAGAAACTCGCGGCTTGGAGTTAGAGGGGCGGGATTCCGGTGACCCATCGCCGTTGTGAGGGATCTGGGGAGCAAGACAGGAACAAAGCTCTATTTCTTGCCCGTTGTGAGTCGTTTTTTTATGAGGGGTCCCATTGCGAGTTGTAATAGATATCGCCTACAGCGCGACACAATTGGGTCGGCCCAATATTCTAGCTACACGAGTTCTTTTCCTTTTTATCGGTTTTCCTTGCTTTCCATCGGGTTCTTTGATTTTCGTAGGTTTTAAATTTTTTCCTCTTTCATTTTACTTTTTAAAATTTTATTTATTTCGTATTCATCTATTTTCTTTGGTTTGTTTTACATGCTAAAAGTTTCATACATATTGTACATTTTTCTTACATATTACTAATATTTTTATACACACTCAACTTTTTTAAATACATGACTATTATTATTCTAAATAAACTTTTTATTTATATTTTTCATACACATTGAACATTTTTGTATACATCTAAAACAGTTTAATATACATTTGAGTATTTTTCAAAAACTAGATTAACATCTTTTCAAACACATATTTTGAACATTCTTTTTATATGTGTTAAAAAATCGAATACATGCTGATACATTTTTTAAATGGTACGAATCATATTTAAATATATGCAAACATTGTTTTAATTGTATAACCTTTTAAAAACATTTTTACACATATTTTTGAAACACTTGGACGTCTTTGAAATGTATCCTATATTTTTTAATGGGAGGATTTTTGAAATGACCCAAAAACTTTTTATGTTGTATAACAGTTTAAAGAAATCATGTACTACATTTTTTTGCAATGCGTGGACATTTTTGAAATGTCACATATATTTTTCTAATGGTACAACATTATTCTAAAAGTTGAGATATACTTTTTTACACTGAATGAACATTTTTAAAATGTCACATACATTTTTCCAATGATCATAAATTTTCTAAACATTGAGCAACACTTTATAACACTACACATACAGTTTTAAATATGTGATGAATACTTTTAATAATACATATATTGAAAATTCTTTAAATATAAACAAAAATAAAATGCATGCATAGCATCAGGATAATGAAACCACATGGTTTCTGGGCCGGCGCACTACTGGCTATTTGTAGGCGAGCTCAGCTTCCATTTCGCTAGTAGCAAGACATATACCCTGTGATGTGTCCGTGCGACTATCATCACTCCTAGGACTCGTGCATGTTTTTTTTAAAGAAAATCTATCCTGCGTGTTTTTTTAGCAAAATCTATGCGTGTGACACAAGGTTGATCGTGATCCATTCAGCTCCACCCCTGCTTAAACTTCTCGGGGCACACACATTTTTTTAATACAATACAATTAGAGACGCTCATAAATGCACATACACCCATTTCTATAAACGCATGCATGCATACCCTTATGAGCACCTCCAAATATTAAGCTGGCACAACATCACAGGCACCCGTAGTCAACGAAAAAGTCTTCACCCAGTGAATTAATTTTGCCAAATAGCATGAAATAAATTTAAAAAAATGCGCACACGGATTTGAACCCTGGTGAACTGATTCCACCACAAAGAACCTAAACATCTGAGCTATGCTCAGCTAGCCATTTACTTTCCAACTCGATGTATAATGTATTGGTTCTAGCGGTCTACAAGAAATACAAGCGTGTACAATCATTTGCATTAACCAATATCTTTAACCGAATAAAATGAGCACAGCTAATACTAGCGATCATGGGGTGCAGGTCCAACATTATTGAATGGGGGCACAACAGCCCGGGTGCGCCAAATCCTCACTCAAATTAAAGCACACTTATACAGGCCCAAAAGTAGATGGCATACTACTATGATGTTATCAATCCATAGGGGTCAACTTCTGAGAAGATGTGCGATGCAGATGTGAATAATGCTACTTCCTCCATCCAGGTGCATAGGGCGTCTAATGAAAATTTATTATTCCAAATATATAACTCATCATGTGTGGAAGGAGCTCCTCATTTTTCGTGATCATTAATATTTATTTTTGCATCATTCTAGTAACGGCTCAAAATATGACTGGAACTTTGAAATGGAGATGGGATTTATTTCATCCTAGTAAACGCTTCAGACTGTCAAACCATTTATTTATCAGCTTAATTTTCTTGTTTCAAGCCAGCAGCACCTCGTGGATGAGCCTATCAACATTGCGCATGGACCTTCCGTCACACCGTGCGGAGGCCAGGGCGCTCTGCCGGAGCTCTTGCACACGCCGCCGCATCTCTCGCCCCTTCGCCCCCTCCATGGCCTCCCGTATCATCGCCTCCACCTCGGTCCTCCTCACGTCGTCCCCAATCTCCACCCCGATGCCCCACTCTGTGCACTTGTAGCGGCAGTTGGTCTGCTGCTCCGCAAAGAAGGGCCAACACACCATCGGAACGCCACCGCATATGCCCTCCACCGACGAGTTCCACCCAGAGTGCGTGAGGAAGATCCCTACGGCCTCATGCTCCAGCACCTTCTCCTGCGGGCACCATGTCGAGAGCATGCTCCGCCCCTCGGTCGCTACAAAAAATTCTGGCGGTAGTGCGGCTTTGTCGTCGCCCTTAACGAGGTCAGGCCGCACGTTCCACAGGAAGGCGTAGCCGGTGTTGGCCAACCCCCACGCGAACTCCAACAAATGCTCCTTGGACATCACCGTGATGCTCCCAAAATTTACATACAACACGGAGTTCGGCGGTTGGCCGTCGAGCCACCGGAGGGGTGCGTCCTGCTCCTTCCACAGGTTGGACCCGATGTCGGCGAGGGGGCTCTCCTTCGAGACATTGTTGTGGACCGTGAGATGGAGTGGCCCCACTGTATAGACGGGCGGCAGGAGCTTGGACATGGCATCGAGCAGGGGCGCGTCGAGCTCGTCCCAGGTGTTTATCACCACCCCCGACGCCTGCGACATGGCGGCCGTCTCGTGGACGAAGAAGTTGAACATGATGTCATCGGGGTCCGTGGTGCGCACGAAGCTAGGGAGGTCACGCAGCCGCAGGTTTTTGGGCATCGACGGTATCCAGTCTATGATCGTGTCCAATTATCTGTTGCTCAACTGCGCCTCTTCTGCACCAAATTACAGTATGTTGCCGGAGTCAATAAAATCCATCCTTTGCCGAAAAAAATGTTACCCCCATTTTAGTTTCGACGTGCAGTTGAAGAAAGCTGGTTTTCTTGTGTATGTGCAGAAAGAGACATGAATATCTACATTTGAGAGGGAAGAGCCCACGATCGAGTAGATCCTTATAGTGGCAGTAGCTCATGAAACCGCAGGCGCTGGCGGTCCAGAGTGTGACGCAGCGGAGGCCGAGTTCCCGCGCAGCGGCAAGAGCGAAGCTCATGGTGCTATCGGCCACCACGCAGGTGACAGGCGGCAGTGCGCCGCCGGAGGTCTCAGCCTCCTCGTTGAGCTTGACGACGAGCTCCTTGACCCGATCTCCATGGCTTCCTTCCTAGCGAACCTGCCTCACCTCACCTTGTGCGTGTGGCCGTGTGCGGTGAGCTCCGGCCATGAGCTCCTGGACATGTGCGTGGTACCACCTCCGTTCCTAAATATAAGTCTTTTTAGAGGTTACGCTATGGACTACATATGGATCAAAATGAGTGAATCTACACTCTAAAATGTGTCTATATACAACCGTATGTAGTTTGTAGTGAAATTTCTAAAAAGACTTATATTTAGAAACGGAAGGAGTACATAACAAGGCTGACGGCCGGGCATGGGGTGTAAACGCCTCCACGTGCTCACGGGTAGTTGGATCAGTCGATCTCAACTTCAATGGCCGCCTGGCTGCTGCCCATCTGTCATTGTTGGCTTCATGAATTATTGTTGTTGTGGGAGGACACGGAACCATCCATGAGATCGAGTCAAATGGTTTGGCGGATTTGCTAATTTCGTGACCACTCATCATTTCCGGCTATTCTAAACTCTAAACGCATATCTAAAGCCGACCCTCAAATCTCGTCCATATATGGACCGCAGTGTCTGGACCATTTTTGCCATCCAAGAGGGACTCCTTATACGTCCTCTTAGCAGCCCGGATGTATGGATTCCAGTATCCTATTAGAGTCCGGACATTCACTTTATCAACCAAAAGTAACCACATGGTTCTTATCTCTTTTCTCTTTCTTCACATGCATGGTCTCTCTCATGTTTCTCCTCCCAATCGGATTAACTTGGGAATAACATTGATGACCGGCTCCTGCATCGTGTCCGTGGACCACGTCCGGACGAAAAAAGGACATTTTACAGTGTCCGTTTGTGGGTTAACGTTGGAGATGCCCTAACAAGTTGTATCCTGTTTTGTTTACTCTCTCGTGCATCTCATTATCATGGAAGGGCAAGTTTAGTGTCCTATCAATATTGTAATGAAATTTAGGTTGTTTGTCAAATGCATTTCGTCGGACCCTAGGAAGACATGACATTTGCCATGTACATTTTCTTTTGCATTCAGCAAACTAATCTTTTTCTTTGCCGAGTTTTTTTTTGACTCGGCAAACACTTTTTATGCTCCTTTCTCATGTTTCTTTTCTTATGTATATTTTTTAGTTTATGCTCTGTTGTTTTCTACATTTTTTTTACTTTCTCCTCTTTATTTTCTTTTATATGCATTAAGTGCATTTTAGGAATTTTGTGAATATAATAAAATTTTGAACTAAGAATGCATGAAAAAGTTGGCAACATTGGATTCAAAATTCAATTTGTGCTCTTGAGTTTATGTTTAGGTCTTATACAAGAAAAGGAATTCCAAATATAGGGGTGATAAGACTCAACCCGAACATGGATTTTGTTGACTTTGTAATTCCAAAAAATTGCAATGTCATTATACGATGCCTAGAGGTTTTGCTAAAAATTTGAGGAGCAGAAAAATATTGTTATGTACACTGCTTATAAACTGGACCAACTTCGAGGAAGAAACATGGTTTCAAGAGGGGACCGGTTGTAACACCCCAGATCCAATGCGCCACGTGTCTTCCGTTTATTCACCGTCGATGCCATGTCATTTGCTTGCGTGTTGCATTTTGTCATGTCATCATCTGCATTTCATCTGCATGCTTTTCAAAACTTGCATCTGAGCATTTTCCCCGTTGTCCGTTTTGCAATCCGACATTCCCACATGCACCGGCACACCCCTCTTGTCTTTTTTTTCGTGAGCGGGTGTTAAACGTTCTCGGAATGGACCGAGGTTTGCCAAGTGGCCTTGGTACACCACCGATAGACCACCTGTCAAGTTTCGTTCCATTTGTAGGTCGTTTGATGCTCCAACGGTTAACCGGGTAATCGCAAAGGCATTTTGTGTGTTGCAGCCCAACACCCTCCAAAACAGCCCACTAGTCCATCCAAACCCCCTCCATGCTCTCGGTCGTTCGATCACGATCGTGTGGGCGAAAACCGCTCCGCAATTGGAGTCTCCTAGCTCCCTCTACCTATAAATATGTGCACCCCTCCGAAATTCCGGGTGCCGAAACCCTAGCCGCGCCCCTTCCCGCCGCCGGACACGTCCGGTCTGTGCCGGACAGAAGCCGCCGCCGCCCGCGGCCAATCGGAGGCCGCCACGTGGGCGCCGCCGCCTCCCGCGCCGACGGCCCGCCCGGGCCCGAGGCCGCCCCCCGC